AAGGAGGTAAAGCCCCCCTCTTTTTCTTGAGAATAGAATCAGAATATCTTTTGGTTCTATGCTAACGGTTGCGGCAGGGTTAGTAGGATCATTACTTTTTGATAAATGATAAGAATCAACAATGCGCTATCCCAAATTTTTTTGGAAACATAAAAGTACTGATTTTCAAGAAAATTTAGTGATTTCGAAAGGTTTTTTTTTTTGAAAGGTTATACTGTTCTCTCTCCCACTATTTTCCTCGACTGTTTACTCACTCTCACATTCGTTTTTGATCTCTCTCTTGGTCATATTCAACTAGCGGAGAGACACGCATGCCTTGCTTTTTCTAGTTTCCTGCGGTGTGCTGAAATATCTTAAGAAACTCATGACTTGGCAATTAAAACAGAGTTGCAATTCTCTGCAGGAATCCCTAAGAAACTCATGACTTGACAATAAAAAGAGAGTTGCAATCCTCTGCAGGAATCTCTCATGGGTGATGGAGTGGAACCTTCAGGTTTGTAGGGAAAGAAGAATTCCCCAACTTGTTTCAAATAATAATCTTTTCTCTAAGACGTCTTTCACAGAGGTTCAGATAATGAATGGGTGAATTTGCAGGTGTCGGGAATCAGTTGGTTGTGGTTCTCGTGGGCGCACCAGGCAGTGGCAAAACGACCTTCTGCAACAATCTCATGGAAACTTCAAATCGGCCATGGATTCGTGTATGCCAGGTACTTCTCTTCTCTCTAGCTATCTATTAATGCATTCTTGTTATTTGTTTGGAAATGATTGATACCTGCAAATGAATAATGGAAAATGAGAGAGAAATTGGGGAGAATTGGGTCTTAGAGGAGTAAACTTTGTCAAAAGTTAATGCAAGAATACCCATATTGATGGATTTTTGGTGATTCTTCTTCTTTAACTATCTATCAATGGTTTTTTTAGAACTATACTCTCTCACAAGATAGTGCTGGAATCTTCTATCCACGGGCCTCTGTTGTTTGATTTTTAGTTGGATAAATGATTGACACTCACAAACGTAAAATGGAAAATAAGAGAGAAACTGAGGAGAATTGGGTTTCTATACAAGGATACTTTTGTTGTACGTTTCTCTTTTGAATACTCCCCCCCCTTCATTTCTTTTGGAAAAACCTAAATTTGAAAAAGTATTTTGGTCAGCAGTTTTTACCTTTATTTGGGATGAATATGTAAATCCAATGAAAAGGTGGAAGGATTGATGGACTTCTCGGTGCAAGCTGTTGCAGAGAAGTGTTTTGGTGGTAGTGTTGGGGATGTTCTCTCTTTAAGTACATGTAATACTCATTCTTGATGTGATTCCCATGTGTCTTCCATGTTAAAAATCTCTCATGTTCAAAGGACCAAATGAAGAAGATAAACTGCATGTAGAACTTGATAATTCAAATGATCACGTGTCCCTACTTTGTAGGGTTGACTAGTATTAGAAAGAAACCATAGAGGCCTGCCCACCATGTAGTATTATCTTTTATCATTGAAAATTGGAGCTTGGCTGTAGATATGGTTGATAGAACTTACTTAAAGGAGCTGTAAATTAGGAGATGAAATCTCGTCTCTTATCCAGTTCATCTACCTAAGGGCAAGGGAAGAACAATTGGCTGTAAGTGTATTTTCACGATAAATGAAGGCTGCTCTGATGAAGGTGAAAATATGTATAAAGAATAATCGGTGACAAAGGAATATGTCCCGAAAGAAGGCAAAGTCTTGAATTAAATCTTCTCATTAGTAGATTATGCTATTATTCAGGTTCATATAGATATAGTAGCTTTGCATGACTTATATCTAGAGCTATTTGCAGTGTTACATAGACACCAATGCGGTTGTCGGCTTCTATGAGTGTCACAAGTGTCTGGTATCTTGGCCTAAAAAGGCAATACAACTAGACAAGTTGGTATGTTATTTTTCATAAATAAAATAGTATATTTTTAAAGATGTATGATATGATTTTCTTTGAGGGAACTCAGGAGTAGCTGCAATTGGCGATAAAGGGAAAGTAGACCTAGGTGGTCTGATCATGTATAACATCAACCTAGAACTATACCAATTAGAGGAGTGATATGGTTTAAGCAGAAGGTTCTGAAAAGGCAAGGGGAAGGCTCCAAATGACATGGATGGAAGTAGTGAAAAAAAATATAATGACTTATGGTTTGACTGAGGGAATGAGTCTTGATCAGTATATGGTGGAACATAATTCATATAACTCATCTTAGCTACACCCATTCTATGGATATCTTGTTTCTTGACCACCCAACATTCCATCCCTTAAAGCATTGTTGGTCTTACAACCATCCTATAGAACTTCCCCTTTAGTTTCATTGATATGCAATGAACACATAAGACTTCAGAAGCACGTCTCCACTTCGTCCACCCATCTCTGATTTATGAGCAACATCTTCGTAAATCTCTCCTGTCTCATAGATTACTGATCCAAGATATCAAAATTAATCCCTTTTTGAACAGGTGCAGGCCATGGGCCTCGAGCCAAAGACCTGCCAAAGCATAAAAGTTGTTCTACCACCTATAGCTTTACCATTTTACGTCATAAAAATGCCGGACACTTTTATTTGTACTGCGGCTATCATACTTAAAATAAATGATGTCATTCGACTTGTATGGTCAAGCATCGGGGTCATGTCTCTAAGAGTCAACAGATGTCGACATGTGACACTAGCCTTTATATTGAATGTATGGGTAACATTGACTATTTGATGTAAAATATCTTTCTCCATTGAAATCTATAGGAGGAAATCTAAATGCGCTATCTTGAATGCTTTGTACAGAATGGAAAAGAGGATATGTTGGCAAGGAATATCCTTGACAATGGTACAAATGATTCGACATTTTCATGTGTAAAGCATGGGCATTGATCGTGTGCATTTACATTTGGTATTATATGTGGATGACATGTTAATTGTTGGAGAAATCATGTTAAAGATAAATAAATTAATGACTCAGTTGGGCTAAGAATATTAGGCAAAGAATATTAAATGAAAGACCTAGAGCATGTAAAGAAAGCTTTGGGCATGGAAATCGGTAGAGACTGAAAGATTGGGATGTAGTTGTCGTTGAAAAGTATATTGACAAAGTTGCTTCAAGGTCTAATATGACCAATGCAAAACCTGTTAGTGTGCCTCTTGTTGCTCATATTAAGGTTTCTGCAGTGCAGATTTGTGTGCTAGCACATATGAAGATACAGAACCCATGTCTTATGTTTTTTATGCTAGTGTTTTGGGAAATGGCTTACACTAGGTTGGCATCTCCCCATGGTGTTGGTTTTTTCAGCAGGCACAGGGAAGTCCAGGAAACAAACATTGGTAGGCAGACAAATGGATACTTCATTGCTTGCAATGTACCACATATAGTTGCATTGTGTTCGAGAAGAATTATTTAAGGAAACGTAATTTAGTGGGCTTTGTGGATGCTAATTCTGTTGAGAATTTGAACAAGAGGAGATCCGGTACTGGTTCTGTTTTCATTCTTATTGGTGGATCAGATGCTGATTTTGTTGATAATTTTAACAAGAGGAGATCGAGGACTGGTTCTGTTTTCATTCTTGTTGGTGGATCAGTTAGTTGGATGGAAGTCATCATTGCTTTCAATGATTGATTTGTCCATTATGTAGCAGAATACATGGCTGCCACATAACTATCAAGGAAGCCATATAAGGGTCTTGTGAGTGACCTGGGTTAATATAGGATTAAAAAAAATGTTTTGCGATAACCGAAGTGATCAGCGAAGAACCAAGTTTGCCATGTAGGGACCAAGCATATAGATGTGAAGTACCATTTTATTGAGAAAGTCATTGAAGCAGGTAAGTTTTGCATGTGAAAATCGGTGTTTGGAAAAATGGATCGGTGGACTGGATTGCCCATCCGTCGGGATCACTGATCCAGATCTTCTGGGTAGGCGATTCGATGAAGTCAAAAAAAAAAAAAAACACAAAAAGGAAAAAAATTATAGAAGGATATGATAAGTAGTGTGGACATTTATAACAATTATTTTAAGCAGCATAGTTGGCTAGTACTGTGACTGATGATGCCAAGGTTAGGGGTTTGGATCCCCAACTTCTTTTTTTATGTAGTATAAAATACAAAAAAGTTAAGGTAAAAGTGCTTGGGAGGGGGTTCGAATCACCAACCTAGTGCTACAGGTTCTGGAGTGCTCCTGCCGGACAACTAAGCTATTATAACATAGTTTGCATAGAAAGAAACATAACATTTTATTTTTTTAAGAATCATTTTGATTCCTTCAAGGCCTCGGCATAATGTCAATGAATCCTGATCTCGATCTGTGATTTTTCAATCACTGGTGAAAACTAATATTAAGAATAATGTTGCCAACATGATGACAAGCCTGTACCAGTGGTGAAGTTCAAGTTGTGCTTGAACTTACTCACTGCATTGAGTGGGCACCCTATGCGTTTTGTTGGAGAAGATTGAAAGCGTTCTCAAGTGGGTCAAGCGAAATTCAAGCCAAGGTGGTGATTATCGTACTTATTCATCTTGAATTCTCTCCCTCCCCCTCCCCCTACCCCCATCTTTTTTGTAAAATCCTAAATTATAAAGAGCATTTTTTTCATGGAAGTTTTTCGTTTTATTTGGGATCGGCATATAAACCCATGGTGGCTAGGGTTAGAGATTATAGAGATAGATTTAGAGAGAAAAAGAAAAATCACGAACCTTTAAGAGTTAAGGGGTTTCTTGGAGGATAAAAAATAGTGGGTGGAAAATCAACATTCTCTCTCTTTAGGAAGGAGAATAAAATAAACAAGAGAACATGTGCACTAGCTTTGTTGGTGATCTCTGGATTTGTCTATCCCTGTGCATGTAGCTTTTGCAAGGAAATGAGCCACAAAAATCTGATATTGTATTTGTATATGATTTGATCTTCATTTCAGCTGGTTTTGTTCTCTCTTTCCCGTTAGTTTTTCTCAACTTTGTCACATGTAGTGCAGAAACCCATATTTTTTTCATGGAAGAATAATTGATTTTTTTTTTCTGCTTTCTAATATCTATACATGGCTAGGGTTTGCTTTTTATTTGGTGAAATCGCTGATATCAAAAAATTAATAATGGAAAATGAGAGAGAGCTTATGGAAAATGAGAGAGAGCTTGAGGAAAAATAGGTTTGGAGAAAACTATAATCTCTCAGAAGATATTATAGTAAAATCCATGGTCGTTTTTCTTGTTTTCTCTCTCTATCTGCGACTTCTTTTTTATTTGCTCTTTATTTATAGTAATGATTGATACCAACAAAAAAATAAACATAATATGAGAATGAAATTGAGAAGAATTGGGTATTTACTTTAGTGAACTTTAGTCTCTCATAGGATGGTGCAGGGAAACTTGTCCTTTGAATGGCAGTAGTCTAATTAGTGGATTATTAAAGAATCTAATTTGTGCCTTTCAGCTTGAAGTCATTGTGTATTGAGTAAGAAGGAAATGAGGAAATGAATGCTGGCATTGCTTGATGCATTCTGCGAGATTCTTTGTCCTTTTCATGGCTTTTTTAACATAATTATATAGTTTATACATATATTAGTGCTGCATTTGGAGAAGATTTTTATTTTATTTTAATTTTTTCAGTAGAGACCCAATACGGTTAGGAATGTGTTGGTGCTTCCTTGTCCACCATTTGCTAGGATCTTTAACCACCTCCCTCCTAGCCAGTGTTTTGTGAAAGAAAAGATAGGACCTTGTGAAGTCTTTTCCTTTTTACAAAGGGTGCTGACCACTGCTCCAATAGTGTAAGAGAGGGGAGTTGACCCCACCAGCAGACGAAACCTTAAGTATTATAAATTTGTAAAAACGTTGTCTATGAGATACCGTTAGAATCTGGGAGTCTGCATGTTTTTAAGTCCTCGAACACTCCCCTATATACAACTTATTTACTCGTTATCCCTTTGAAATGTTGCTACGATGATCTAAATTCTTTTGCTAGATGTCTTATTTTCTAAGTGAAGGTTGTCCTCCTCTAAAGCATCCAACAATATTTAGGCTCCTTTCTTTCTTAAAAATATTCATTAAAGGGAAAACTTTGTCCCTAGGAACACTAGACTGTGATATTCTCCCATTTCCACTTTTGAGGTGGGTGACAGATGCAAAAATGTCCCATATCACTTCATTCCCAGAAACAATCTCAAATAAAAAAATGGAAAAACAAAAAAAGTAAAAGAAAAAATGAAATAAAAAAGAGGAATAATTTGTAGCTCTAGGCATTCTCCTAATGTATTGTTATTGCCAAACTAAATTCTTTGTAAATCGATTTGAATGAGATGTGGGTCATATGGATTTGGAGTGTTTTTGAAGTTCCAAATTAAATAGAAGTCAATCCGAAAGCAATATCCTCAAAGAAGATGTCTTGGAGCTCCAAAAATGCTCTAAAAACTATGGGCAACTTATGACCTAGTTTGAACCTTCCATTTTGAATGGACATGGCATATGAGTGATTATAAGATCTTACAAAGCTCCAAATCAAATCTTTGAGGATCATTATTTGGGTGTTTGAACTTTTTACGGGTCTCCCAGCCTCCATAAAATTGATTTCTGAGGTGAGGGAACATTATTCTCTAATGTTCCTAGGCACAAATGAAAAGTTAACCCTGCTTAATATGTGATGCCTAGAGTTGCAAAACTATATGAATATTTTTGTTCAAGCTATGTCTCAAAATATGAATATTTTTGTTCAAGCTATGTCTCGCAATATTGGTTAGCTTGGTGCTCCACCTGCTTTAGCATTTGGTTGCCCCCTAGTGCTACTTTCAGGTTCATCCTTTGTAAAGGCATTAGGAAAATCTATTTATAGCATTTGATTCCCTAAACTGGTTGATAATTAATGGTGGGACCACGACATCCTGCCTTTCTGGTCTTCAATATAAATGCCACAATTATTTTTTCCACATTTGGAGCCTAGTTAAATTGTAAAATGGCGGGATTATTATTTTCTCTAGCCTGACCCTGGGAAATAGCGAATTTTTCATTTGCAAATACGCCTTTTGCAGTGAAATTGTCACTGTACTTTTACGAGCATGCGTAGTTGAGTCCCTTAGCCTTCGGCAAGTGGAATGCGATCAAATTGAGTTCTCAAATTTTCTATTTGCATGAGTTAGACCTCAAGGAGAAAGAATATTTTTCATTATAAAATGGGTCATCATGCTCGTAAAATGATGGAAAAGGCTTAAACTTAATCAATATAGGTCCCTCTAAATGTATCGGGGGACCCGCACTACTTTTGATATTATCTCCATGTTGACCTGGAGCAGTTAACAAGTTTAAATCGACAAGCTTTATTGGTGATTGATTTTTATTCAGTGTGTATATTGGCATTCAGAAATGCTGTACTTCTTACCTAATGTCCATTGCAAGATAACTAAAATGGGTTTTTTACCTTGATAATTTGAGGAATGAGTGTGATAAAGTATGGAGGGCGATGTAAACATTGACTTGGGAATGTTTGACTTAGAGCTAGCTTAGATGAGAAGGTGAAAACTTAGGAGCTCACACAACTAGTGTTCAATCCTCCAAGTTGCATGCTTGGTGTCAGGCACCAAGCATGAATTGCATTAACTAGCAGGGGCATGTGCATTCTATGTGATTGAATATGATATTAATGGACATTGTGTAAAATAAAAGTATGATTGTTAATTTTTTTCGGAGTTGAATCTGGCTATCTATTGATGCATTGCATCTTTGGTGCGAGAGAGAGGCTTGATCCTAGCCTTACATCTCACATCTAGCTATTATGATGTGTGGTGATGATTTTCCCACCTTATCACCATTTATCCAAATTCAATTTCAAAATTCCTTCTTTTCTATTTAATCTTCAAATTTTGAAATTCAAATTAAGGTAATTACTCAAATGCCCATGGTACTTGAATGAATTATGTGAGAGGAATGATCTAGGAGGGGCATGCCCCTACTTTATGGATCAATGTTTTCTTGCCTACCATTTTCCCTCAAAAGTAAGATATCTTTCTCTTATTAGTTAGTCCACAATGGTTAGTAAGGCTTGGTTTTAATTGGACCTATGGCTTTGACAAAAAAATATCTAGGCCAAGTCGGCTCACACACACATGCAAATGCACACAAACATGTGGAATAGAAGTAACATATGCTAAAGACCAACAGAACACATAATACAAAAATATCACAAAACACAAAGAAGGTCCTCAACAAACGTCATGTAGTGGGCATGCCTCTCTAGGCAGCATCACTCACATCTAGCTATTATGATGTGCGGTGATGATTTTTCCACCTTATCACCATTTATCCGAGTTCAATTTCAAAATTCCTTCTTTTTTATTTGATCTTTGATCTTCAAAATTTGAAATTCAAATTAAGCTAATTACTCAAATGCCCATGGTACTTGAATGAATTATGTGAGAGGAATGATCTAGCAGGGGCATGCCCCTACTTTATGGATCAATGTTTTCTCGCCTACCATTTTCCCTCAAAAGTAAGATATCTTTCTCTTACTAGTTAGTCCACAATGGTTAGTAAGGCTTGGTTTTAATTGGACCTATGGCTTTGAGAAAAAAATATCTAGGCCAAGTCGGCTCACACACGCATGCAAAAGGACACAAACATGTGGAATAAAGTAACATATGCTAAAGACCAACAGAACACATAATACAAAAATATCACAAAACACAGAAGGGCCTCAACAAACCTCATGTAGTGGGCATGCCACTCTAGGCAGCATCAACCACATGTTGCCGCATGTGGTGATGTGGAGCCTACGTGGTACCATGTGGTTGGCTGTTGGGTCCAATTGGCCATTGGGCCCCACACATGGATCTCCTTGTTTGTCATTTTCTCAAAAACTAATTTTGTAAAACCAAATTTTTCTCCATAAAAGAGTTTCTCAAAAATTATTCTCAAGATTATTTCATTACTTCAGATTAATTTGAATCCAACGAAATTATTTTGAGGGAAATTAGGATCCTTTAGGAAACGAAATCAGATAGTCGGCCACGTCACTTAGCTTGTCCCGGAACCCTACGTCGTTTTCTTAAATCAACCCAAAAACTCTCATGGCCCACTAATCTGAGGTAGGGCACTTGTTTAGCTTGTCAAAGTTAACTCAATAGATGATCAAGTCTTGGAATTGGCGTACATTGCAGAGGGACCCCAAGGACAGGCACTTTTGTGGAAACGGGAACTCTCTCTTCTGCACATGTGCATAGCTCCTTTTAGTGTATCAAGATTGAAAAGAGCAGCTTCCAATTTGTGATGGCGATGCACATGCCATGAGATGGCTCAAGGTCAGTGATATGTCTTATGTCCTTTTAAAGCCTAACCATCTTACGTAGGACTCTTGAAAAATCTCATATTAATACTCGAGCTATAGTAATTCTATGATTTGAACACTTAACTCATGTCCTCGCTTTGATGATCATGAGGCATTTTTGTAACATCCTTGACTAGGGATAACCTGTAACCTTTTCGGTTCACTGCACCTAACACTTGATACTCCTGATCTGGGGTTTTGTGACTCTAAGGGCACCAACTCTAGATCTAAGTTTGCAAAGATTTCGTGAATCATTGTGTTCTTGTTCACTTCCATTGGGGTTAAGGCCATAACCCCAACAATTATAGCCCCTTGACAATAAGTTTATCAAGATTCTTGGACGATGATGGAGGGACAATTGGGATGTATATTTAGTTAGTTGAACGTATAGTAAAAATCAATTCCTTCCATCATTGTCCAACTCATTGATTGAATGGTGATGAACCAAGTGCTCATGGTTGTGACTGCGACAATACTGTTCATTGTAATATGTTTTCTTCTATAATTTTGGTTAACATTTCAATCTCTCTTCAAGATTTTTAACTGTAAATCATTCTAGTGGGCCATTTTCCACTATGCATATGGTCATCATAACCCATTGACCATGAGAGTAACATTGGGTAAAACCTTTTTAGTAGTAATTTTAAGACTAAGAATCCTATGAAAAAAGTAAACTAAACACACTCATTAAGTGTCTAAAAGAAATAATGTCCTATCATTGAAAGAGACCATCGAAGTTTTGGATAGTCTCAAAATAGATAATAGGGAAAGAGATAACTTATAGTTATCCCCTATGGCTTTGGATGTTTACATTAGAAATCTTTTGTTTCTAACTCACTTGTAATGGGAAAGTAACTATCCCAATCTCTTATTGTCTTACCTTAAAACTTTATAAAACTTAGAAGGATGCCTACCCTAATCCCTCTCCATCAAAAGGGATCTCATCTAAATGAATGCTATGTGTCAAACTGTTAAATTTGGTTTAATATATCTATAATAGGTGGAGAGCTATGAAATCTTGTTATAACAAAAATAAGGAAATTTTTTACTGTTAGTAATGTTATTGACAAAAACGAAGTTTGTGTCACCAAAAATAGTTTTAAGTATATAATTTTAATTTAAAATAACCTTTTAAAATTATTTTCATGAAATGGAATTATTCTTATTATATAGTATACATTTTCAAAAGTTAGTATTTTATATAAAATTTACATCTTTTAAGACAAACATTGGAAAAGATCACGCATAGTAAAATATATTTAAAATAGATTTGTTATTTAATCGCATGTTTCGGAGTTGTTTTCAATGAAGTGCTCATTTTTAGAAAATTATGAAATTACCAATATATTTATTAAAATGACAATGATTTTATGTTCTTATTTATGTTCCCATTTAAAAGATATTGATATTTTAAAAAAGTTACAAATAATTATTTATTGTGAGGTTGATGTATTCTTTGGACCTTTTAGCTTTTATTCCCATACCACGTGTCAGCACTCTAGAGCTGAAAAGGTACAAATTTCCAGTGAAACATGGGCCAAACTTTGGAGTTTACATTGTTGAAGAGAGACATGAGAAAGATTTGCTTGCATAAGCATATTGTATACTTACTTTCTTGGGTTAGAGACCTTATGAGAAGCATTGTTTTAAAAAATGAATTGGCGGGTGGGGTGGATCACCAACTATTGATCCCAATCCATATCGGCAATCTGGATTGCTCAAATTGGCTATCCAAAATATTTTTTAAAAAAGTGATATAAAATGTAATATGTAGAATATATGTCACAAAAGCATGACTAGTTTGTTGGCTTGACGTTGCACTTCAAAAGAATAAGTTCATAAGTTCGATTCCAACCTTTGGTGGTTTTTTTTGTTTTTTGGTTTTTTTATTTACTTTAAAAAATTTCTATGTTCTGGCTCCTTCCTTTAGAGAAAACTCTTAAAAAAGTTGAAGACCACTAGGGGGAATCAAACCACCCACCTTTCAATAGACAACCAAATTTGATAGCCAACTAACTTATTCAGGATACATTACTTATAACTACATACATCATATGTTAATCCAATCGTTCGTCTGAATCAGGAATCGACATGTTCATGTGCGATTCCTGATTTGGATGAACGAATTCCATTTCAGATTTGGCAATGTTTCAATCACTGCTGAGTAATTATATTTTTGGATTGAAAATTTAGGTATGCACTATTAAATCTTAGGGACAAAGTGTTGAACGGAATTTTAGGTTCTTTTTCTTTTTGTCCAGAAGTCAATTTTGTACTTCAAGTTCCTGACTGACTTTTGGGTTCTCAAAAATGAAGTGCCAAACCCATACGTGAGTTAAACAAAAGAAAATGTCAGGGAAAAAATCTGACCGAAAAAGGAGCCTAGGCGTAAAATATTAAATTTTGGACCTATTTTTAATTGCAAAAATATATATGATATTTTTGTAAATTTCCCCTAAATTTAAAGTTTGACCATAGTACTCGAAGTGCTCGAGCATAATTTTAATACTATAAATGTCATCCAAGAGAATAAGTATGAAGTATGCTCTTTCGTGAGCGTGCTTAAATTAAATGTTCGTCTGTGAGAAATAGGTTGTTTCCAAACCTATCGGTGAAGTTACTATTGAAAGGCACGTGTTGTACGAAGCACCTCATGCTTTGTATAGAGAAGATTTATTGAATAAAATAATTGGAAAGTATATTATGATATGAGAGAGATGGATTGACACTGTTGTTTGAGAATATATGTGAAGCACCATGCTGCTTAGCATTAATTCATGCAATAAAAAATAGCGTATTGATATTACATTGTTTAATGTATTATTGAGAACCATAGACAACGAGACATGTATAAGGAAAATGGAACCTATGTATTCAGAGCTTGATCCCTTACAGGAAGGATCAAGATTCCAAAGTTATATAATTCTCAGGGAAGCGAGATTCCCCTCCTTGGAGTGCAGGAGGGAGATTCTATAACAGAATTGACCCCTTGATTGCACAAGCCTGGTTACTATGGTGGAGTAGTATGTTTTAGAAGATTTAAAATTTTCATATGTTAAAAAACAATTAATGCTTTGTGTAGGTGATGTTACATCAAATGTGGATGTTGTCACAACCCATGTGGTTGCTGTCATTTCTACAATAGTTAATAAATACTTTTTCTCTAGCAAAAATTTCTACTTTAGTGTTGATTAATTGCCTAAAATACCCATCGACAAGAGGTTACTCATAATGAGGAGTATGGGTATCATTAATCCAAAAATATTAGTATGTTTAGGAATACACCATAGTAAGAGTATTAAAAAAGGATCCTATAAGCCCAACAACCTATGGAATGGTATAAGTCTGACAACCTAGAATGAAGGGTCTAGAAATGAATGACTAGCACTTGTTATTCTTGGTCATTCTCCTTCCTTGATTTGGGTTGTGCAGCTCATGCAACAGTATAAGCCTTTTTATTTATGGAATACTTTCGTCTCTCTCTCATATATATATGTGTATGTATGTATGTTTATATATACGGCGAGAGAGAGTATTATAGGTGTACCACAATAGTTGAGAGAGAGACTAAAGTATTCCACACCAAACCTATTACACACCGAACTAGGATATACTCTCTCTCTCTCATACCACCATACGACGATAGACAGATTCAATCCTACTTCGGTATGTATGTATATATATACAACGAAAGTAGGGTGGTATGAACCTATTCCAGTGGAATGATTTTGAGAGAGTATATAAAAAATTGCTAGTGGAATGTATATATAAGTGGCATGGGTGGTATGAAATTTTTGGGTGTGTAATAAGATGGAAGATATGGATAGGATAGGGTTAGTGGTAAGTTTTAAATATTCATGTTCCATGCCCTTTCATCCCAAACCAATGTTCAAAACATTGGCCGCCTAGCTCACCACCTTATGCTAGGACCGTTCGGCCTGGTGGGGTACGGTGGCCTTGGGCGCACAACTAGTCGCCAAGGATCTCACCTGGGCAGTCAGTCGCCTAGTGCCCAGCGCTTAGGCGCTATTGTATGGCCCTTTTGGCAAGGCCTAAAATTGGGCCTCACCAAATAGGCAATTTTTTCCCTTGTAAAGGGGGAAATTGCATTTGGGAGCATTTTGACCCCTCAAAACCCTAAACAACCCTATTTTTTCAAAAACTAATAATTTTTTGTTCAAAAATGAAATTTGTTAAGGATGGCTACTGAAGTTGTAGTTTTCGATTTCTTGTGGAATGAAAATGCATTCCACTGAAAACTTTTTAGGGCCGAAAGTGACAGATTCAATCCTACTTCTATTGGTTTTTTGAAAAAAGGCTAATTAATTCAATTTTTTATGTTTAAAGTTTCTTATTTGTTGTGCGAATTGTGTTATTTTTTCTTTTCGTTTTTCATTTTGTGTGTTTGTTTTTTAATTTTGGCTTTACATTTATGATGATATGCTCTTCTTTGGTTTGCTATTTTTTTTTTTTGAATTTGTTTTTAGTTGGCTTTATGTGATGCTTCACGAGTGGTTTTTTTTTTTTTTCAGTTTGCTATTATTTGTGATTATAATATATTTATTGCTATCTTTTGGCTATATTTATAGTTTTGCTTGGCTATTTATGGCTATGTTTGACAATATTATTCTATCTATGCCTACTTCCGTAATTTAAAATGCAGAATCATAAATTTGTACTATAAATTTATAATACAAAACCATAAATTTATAATATATATATCTAATCATCCCCCCCCCCCTCCTCGCCCCCCCGCCCCCCCCCCCCCTCCCTGCCCCCCCCTGGCCGCTCGCCCCCAAAAAAAAAAAAACCTACTTTTCTTCAGTGATCCCCTAGACAACCAAGCAGTTGGGCACCCCAACCACCTGGAGGCCCATTTCCATTTTCTTGAACATTGTCCCAAACCACAAACCATGGCCACATTCTCTTTCCTCTTATACTTTCTTTCACCATCCCTAGGTCTTATATTGGTCA